ATTGAAGTCGCTTTGACCTTACATGTGTAATGACTGACTTTGTCCGCAAGGTGGACATGTTGTAGTTATTTACCTCGTGTTCACTCATGTTAGAGTGGTGCAGAGATGACGTACTTTGTAGGCTGATACAGAGGGTGTTCCCACAACCAAAAGTCACTGGGTTGTTTTGTTAAACTATACAACATGATGTAACTTTTTTAGAGTATTTCTGATTCTGAAATAAAGGGATATTAAGGCAAACATTAATTTATAAAAGTGATTAAAGGTGATTTGTATAGTTTTAATATTAGACTGCAATGGTCCAACATTGTGTAAAACTACATGGAAACCCTTTTTTTCTACCCCTTGGCTAATATGATTTAAAATGATACATTTACCTCAAAATCCCATCTCTTCTTCTCTATCGTTTGCTTTTCCCTCACTTTTGTATATTGTCTGATTCTTTGTTCAAGTTATTTACCTCGTGTCCACTCATGTGGTTCTATGGTGTAATGGTTAGCACTCAGGACTCTGAATCCTGCGATCCGAGTTCAAATCTCGGTAGAACCTGATTTATTGTGAAGATTAGATAAAATCCGGGTTATTGAAGTAGTTTGATTCAATCTGAGCTCGCGGGTTTTTCTACTGTGTATTATCTCACAATTGTGCATGCAGATTAATAGAGTGGTGCAGAGATAACGTATTTTGTAGGCTGATACAGAGGGTAGCATTGCTTGGTTCCCACAACAAAAAGTCACTGGGTTGTTTTGTTAAACTAACATGATGTAACGTTTTTAGAGTATTTCTGATTCTGAAATAAAGGGATATTAAGGCAAACAATAATTTATAAAAGTGATTAAAGGTGATTTGTATAGTTTTAATATTAGACTGCAATGGTCCAACATTGTGTAAAACTACATTTCTACCCCTTTGCTAATATGATTTAAAATGAGCTTTTTATATATTGACCTCAAAATCTTTTCTTCTCTGTGTCCTATCGTTTGCTTTGCCTTCACTTTTGTATAATCTTGTTTTTTATATCACTTATTTACCTAGCAGTCTCTCATATGGTTCTATGGTGTAATGGTTAGCACTCAGGACTCTGAATCCTGCGATCCGAGTTCAAATCTCGGTAGAACCTGATTTATTGTGAAGATTAGATAAAATCCGGGATATTGAAGTAGTTTGATTCAATCTGAGCTCGCGGGTTTTTCTACTGTGAATTATCTCACAAGTGTGCANTGGGAGCTGCAGATTAAATCTGAGTGGGAGACGAGGCCGTGCTAAAAACTTTTTAAAAACTGCAAACTGCATCTTGAACCGCTGGCTACTCTCTGAATGTCAGTTCGCTTGATTTGACATGCAGTGTCTTTTTCTATGAGCATTTTAAAAAAGGTCAATTTCACATGCCATCATCCTCATTTAGTTTATAAGAAGAAGCAATGTTGATTGAACTACCGTAATTTTCGGACTATAAGCCGCGCCTTTTTTCCCATTTTTCGACGCTGCGGCTTATATAACGGTGCGGCTAATNATTGAACTATATGAATGAGAGTTCAGCAACGCCTTGTGCATCATACTGTACCTTTAGGCAGTTCAAAAAAAAGCAACAAGTGGCTAAAAAACTGAAGAATTTCTTCAGTTTTTTAGCCACTTGTTGCTTTTTTTTGAACTGCCTAAAGGTACAGTATGATGCACAAGGCGTTGCTGAACTCTCATTCATATAGTTCAATCAACATTGCTGCTTCTTATAAACTAAATGAGGATGATGGCATGTGAAATTTACCTTTTTAAAATGCTCATAGAAAAAGCCACTGCATGTCAAATCAAGCGAACTGACACTCAGAGAGTAGCCAGCGGTTCAAGATGCAGTTTTCAGTTTTTAAAAAGTTTTTAGCACGGCCTCGTCTCCCACTCAGATTTAATCTGCAGCTCCCACCGTGATTTTAAAGCAGTCCAGAGCCCAACCCGTGCATTCCTGTTAAAGCTGCTTAGGATTTTTTCACCACAACAACACCGGGGGTCCTCCGGGCGACGTTTGGGTCTACGTCAACCCTATAAGCGGAGGTGCTGTGGACGCTAAATACCGTAGCTGAACACCAATCATACAACAGCCGGAAGACAGCAGAGCACACGCACGCACGCACGCACGCACGCACGCACGCACGCACGCACGCACACACACACACACACACACTTTTTGGCTAACCCAGTTCTGTGTACTGTTATGTTCAGTCATCGTTCTTAATGTTGAACATGAATACATTTACTTTGTACTTTCATAGCAATTTTCTTTCATACTTTCTTGCGGTGAAATAGGTCTTAAATTCTATTCAAAGTGTTCTTAAAAAGTCTTACATTTGAGTTGGTGAAACCTGCAGGAACCCTGGAGTGGATATTCTCACAAGCTGATATTTATTTTTATATGCATTTTGACGCTTCAACCTTTGACTGTGATTTCCTGCTTCAGACGTATCGGGAGCACCTGGAGGGTCAGAAGCATAAGAAGAAGGAGGCCGCTCTGAAGTCTGGGGGTCAGACGGGGGGAAGCACCGGACCCCGAGGTGTTCAGACGCAGTTACGCTGCGAGCTGTGTGACGTGGCCTGCACCGGCGTGGACGCGTACGCTGCTCACATCAGAGGAGCCAAACACCAGAAGGTAACGCAGCTAAGACTGCAAGACCTAGGGCAGGGAGGAGGAGTTTCAGTTGAACAAACAGTATATTTATTTACAATATATCATTTAACTTAACGTGAGGACAACCAAGTGTTAGTAGACTAGATTAGATGTGCTATATTAAATCGTAGTTGAATCTGGATCAAGCAGCATGTAAACAAGGCATTGCTCATGAAACTGTAAAGAGAAAAAAGGATTAAATACATATTAACAATAAAAATATACATTCATTTGTGTACACAGTATAAAAGCACACAGTATGAAATACACTAAGATAGACCAACCTGTTGCTAAATATACTATAACCAGGGGTGCACACAACTTTCTCAGTGAGGTACTCAGATGAGTACCTGGAGTCAGTGTTTGGCACTCCAACTTCCGGCTCCCCTCAAAGTTCCCATGAAGCCCTCTATATCGCGAATGTCGGGGGTGGGGGGGGGGGGGGTAGTAGTGGAGTGCAGAGCTTCGTGACCACAGAGCGTGTGAACGTTGTGATCAGCTGTTTCAGCGCAGTGCTGCTGTACAGACCGACGTTAACAGCAGCCCTGTCTGTGCACACGGAGACCGACTCGTCGTCCGGTGATCTAACCGCCTTCTGGAAAAGCTTCACAAGTACGTCGGTACGCAAATGCGCTTTGTGACACAAGTGACGGTACGCATTTCAGATTGTTGCCGCGCATGCGTACCTGCGTACCACTTCTGTGCACCCCTGACTATAACCATAGATAGTGTATATACATATTAAAGTGTGCAAAGGAGTTTAATGGTAGATTTATTACATTTTTAAACATTGTTGATTATATTTCACAACAGTTGTTAAATCAGAGCGTGTATCAAAAATAGGAATACAAATATCAAAAGCAACACAAAAATGAAACGGTGCAGAATTGTGTTAAAAATAAAGAGTAAAAGCAGCACGTCCTCATCAGAAACGTTCCCTCGAGGCGCAAGCTGTCATCCAGAGAACGGGAGGGTTTAGGCAGCGCCACACAGCAGGCCGTGGGTGTAAAGCCAGCCTACATTTCCGATATGACGTCGTATCGGACGCAAATCTGGATCAGCTCCGTTGTTCTCCCGTTTTTAGAGATTTGAGTAAGGAGGAAAAGAGAGGGTTTTATTTTCTGACTGCTTGAGATCCCCGACACACCGGGGACAAATCTTTATGTATAAAAGACATCAAAAAGTGACTTTTGCATAGGGTTGGGAACCGAAACTCTGTTCCAGATGAGAACCGATAAGAAAATGCCGGGTACCGGGTACCCATACAAAATACACTTTCGGTTCTGCTTAACGGTTCCTAAACGCGGTAGACCCTGTATTCCACCGGGTCCGTCTGCGTCGCGGCGCCCCGGTGGAACACAGCCAGGGTAAGGGCGGACTGGCCATCTGTGTGTTCTGGAGAATCACAGAACGGCCGGTTGTCAGCGGGCCGTTTACGGCCGGCTCGGTTCGCTGACGGCCGGCACCGCCCTTAATTTTAAACGGCATCATATAAGTTGCGCTGACAGGCGACAGAGGTCCACAGTTGCCCCGCAGCGAGGCTCCCCCCGCCCTCCCGTAGAAAGTTCACGAGCTCAGTCACTTCATAACACCAAAGATGGATGGCGGTAAACGCTCTAAAGTGAGGCTCCACTACACTAATAAAGAAAAAGGCAAGGCACCGTGTAATGCCTGTTAATATTTTGCCACAGGCATAGCTCAGTTAAAATAAAGCACAGCTATTGTGCAATACATTTGTATTGCATGTATATTTTGTATTTGTAAAAACGTCAGTTAAAGCTTAAAAGAATAAAGATATTTTTGTATAAACGTTTGACCTCTTTCTTTTACAATTTTGGAATCGAAACGGGGAATCGACAAGAATCGGAATCGATACACTTCAAACGATACCCATCCCTACTTTTGCATGATAGGTCCCTTTTTAAGATATTTAAAATGGCACTGTCGTATACATTTAATTAATCCA